AGCCAGGGGCTGGCTGGTTTCCTCTTTTCTGGACAGCACTGTATTCCTACTTCTTGAGAAATCATTTTTACTTAATGAGATATCCTCTTGCTATAATGGCCTATTTTAACTCATGGGTCTGCCATGTCAGATGCGTAAAGAATCTTTTTAATGGAAAAAAATTGTTTCTTTTTTAAAAGGTCCTGCTTCCAAAACTGCCAAGGGTTTCATTTCCTTTTCTCCATTTTTAATAACATGGATGATACATAATCTGAACTTTATTCCCACAGATTTTTACGCTTTAAAATCTTCATTTTCTTTTGGAAATCCATTGCACACATTAGTCCTACCATTGCTATTGTTATTTTTTTAATTCTGGATATCTGCACAGCAGTAGGTTAGAAAGCCCTCCTATTATTTTTTGTGTTGCAAGTATGTCAAGGATAAGCCTTTTAGTAGGGGTCCTTTATGAGTCAGCATTTAAAGACCAACTAAAAAAGCTATCTCTGTTCAAAGAGAAAAGTCAGCAATTAGTTGCAAACATATTTGTCATTAATGAAATGAAAATAAGAACAAACACCAACATGCACAATTTTGTTTATCCTCCAGTCTGAGCGTCTATTCCAGAGCCACCTTTTAAGATGCTTCCCCTTCAATTATGTGTGATAATTTGATACTAAAAACAAAGGCCAGATCTTGAAAGTGTTTACATGTATGTATGATCTCTGTTCACATGGAATTTGCCTGGGCTAACATGATTAAAATGATGCTGGGGCCAAAGCGTTCACTGAACCAGGTCATACATAGGTCAGAAAGTACTCACGGACAGTGCTCTTGAGACCAAAAAAATATCTCGGAGCAGCTTAAAAAAATGAATATTTAGCAGGTGATGAGAAGAGATTTGCAGAGCTCAGCCTTTGTACTTAGTCTGCCTGTGCATTCCATTTCTTTTGCTAAGGTCATCTGGCATTTACCTCTGTTTTCCCCCTGGCAAGCTGCTCAGTTCGTTAGCCAGTTTAAGGCTATGATAATACTGTAACACTGTTGAAGGCATTTTTTAGGTAGTACTGCAGCAATGACTTAAGGGAAAGATTTGAATTAAGAAAATGGGAGATAAGCTGCAGGGAAGAAGTACATACAAAAGACAAGTACATTATGGAAAATGTGAAAACTGCTTTACTCTAAAAATCTCCTTCAATAAATTGCATCTTCCTCTGCTCAGTTTCTCTAATACTGGAAAATTTCCTTCCTCTCAAATAAATGCTCATTCTCTTTTACCACTGCTTTCTGGGCTGCAGCCTTTCATTTGTGAAACTGAAAATGATGATCTACCCAGTGTTTTTGCTGTGACTCTCATTCCATTCAGGGATCATGGCTTCTGTGTGTCAACTTGATTTTGCTCTTATTGTAATTCCTATGTTTGGGAAGAGGTTCCTCTACTGCTGCATTGTGCATGGGAGACCTATTTTCTCATTCCCTCACCTCAGCACACTCACTACGTGTAAACTTGGGATTCTAGTTTGATTTGTCAGAGTTTATTTGATTTTTTTTCTGTATAATAAAACCATGTCATTTGTCAAGATATTGAAAAATGACCTTACAAGTACTGTAAGACTTCACATTTAGAAGGGCATGTCACTATGCCTTGATTTGCAATCAGTAAAACAAAGAGTTAAACCAATCAAGATTAATCCTAGAAATTTATCACATTGTGACCAGGACTGAAATTGGTCTGAATTCAAACTCAGTGAAATCTCAGCAACATTCAGATCCAGGTGAAAAGCTCAAGACTGGAGATGGACCTGAGTCACAGATTTGAACCCAGAGCAGAATCTTCACTTTCTTGAATGGATGGAAAAGGGAAAGGGCGGGTCTGGATGCAAACCCCTGCTTCCTCTTAGAACTACTGAGTCTTCAGAGTAACCCCATAGGTTAACTCCAGGTTTCTTCATTAAAACTATTTTCAAGGGTTGGAAGGTACACCTGCATTTCCCGTTCAGCAAACCTCTGGCTCTTTGGGCTGTACGGCTCATTGATTGTATTACAACTGTAAATCCCTTTAGAGCAGTTTTCTGCTCTGAAGTCAGATATTTCCTTTCCAGTAAAAGCTCATCTCTGTCCTTTAAGTACACTTAGTAATGCTGTCTTGATGAAGGTCATCATGAGATGATGACCATCAAGGATATTGACAGGCTCTCCCTTTATAAGCACCACTTACTACCCTTCTTTTTTAAGTTAGTTATTCTCCATCTGTTTTATGGACACGATCTGTTTTTCAGAGTCTTGGATGTTGTGTTGAATAAAAGGAAATAAAATGGGAGACAACAGTAAAGAGAATAAAGGACGAAAAATGCTGTGAGTTCTTAATGCCCAGCAAGGTAAACCAGAATAGCAAATACTCATCCTTAAAGGGATATGTAAAACAGTAGCTTCTTAAGAAGGTAGTTTGAGGAGCAAATGTGGAAATGTGAATGTGGTTCTATCTGTGGCATAAACCAGTCCAGAGCTGCTAACTCTAGATATCCACCAAAAGTGACAGTTATTTTTGTAGCTAGATAGCTGAAAGCTGATGGCCTAGTAAGGGGTAAAGCTGCTGCTCTCCTTTAGGCATTCGTAATTCCCACTGAAGTAAATGACTATAGCAGGAGTATTGCTCATGTAAACACCATGCAAGCTACACCAAGGAAGTATCTCTACCCAAAGCCAGACAAACTCAATTCAAATTTTACATTCACTGGCTTAATCTTGAGATCCTTCCACAACTGAAACTCCTGTTGCATTTATTTGCTAGAAGGACATTTTAACAAACCAGATTATTTTTTTCTCTCCAGTAGAACTTCCTTTTTTTTCCTTCAGCCATACACTTTGTCTAGACACACGCTGCTTTCCCTTTTTATGGCCCCAGTACTTACTCCACGCGAATCCTTGGCATCTTGAATCATTTGGAATGTGCAAAAATATACCTGCCTGCTTTCCTCCTTATCGAAAACCCTACTTGTGATCCAGACATGCATAAAATGTGCCTCAACGTAGAGTGATTATTATTTCATTTGGCAAATGGAAATTCCTGACTTGAATTGTGTACCTTTTCCCATTCCCATAGTTTTGTTATTTCCCAAAAAAAAGTTGGATTCTCATTGATTAGTAATCCAGTGTTCATTTGGAGCAGAATGTAGCCATAAATTGGATCTTCTTTTTGCTAATCAGTAAGACACATTCTCTACATACAGAAGCACTTATTTAACATGACATATATTTATTCAGACATCTAATGTTTATATTTTATGATGCTAGAAAAAGGCAGCTGATGTTTCTTAGAGTTGATCTCTTTTTGATTCCTGATTAGTGTTAAGCTACGTTTAGGTACAAATTGGAATTCAAATATAATACAAACATTCAGAATATTAGTGTTTCATTAGCTGAATAAAATCAGGTTCAATTCCTAACTATAGGAATAAAAAGGCTTGTCAAAACAAAATTTCCATTTAAAACACCACCTTATCTTCATGAACTGAATGATTGTTCCTAGCATTCCATCCTTCACAATGTTAAAGGTAATTTTACTCTGAAACTGGAGGAAATTGAGTTTCTCAGCATCCTAACATCTCAGCTGTAAAGCACCTCTACATGTGCACTGTTTACCTCTACAACTACCATGCTTCGTGTGTCTGACTTACTGATGAACTTCTCAGAATTTCAGAGGCAGTATGGAATTTTCTATTAGTATTAATAGGAAGACATGCAGGCCTGAAGACCACAGCGCAAGAGCTCAGTGTTTACAGTTCCTGATTTGCACCTATACTGCTGTGACCATGGGCAGCCCCATAGACTTGGCACAGAAATCCTCATTAGTCCTTACTTTATTTAGACTTCACCTTTCCTTCTATGATCTCTCCCACTAGTCATTCAGCACTTAAAACCTTTTCTTTTTGCAGGTATGCATCAGATACTTATGAGGAAAGTGGTTGCACTACGCAAGCTTGCAAGGTAACTGGATGTATATAGACAACTAAATCTGTGGAATACTATGGTTAAGGTGCAAGAGGCAAGTCTCATTTTCAGAACTGAGACTGCGTGGCAGTGAACTACTCAAAGGAACAGTTTCACAGCTAGGACTGAAGCCTTGATACTGTGGTAGTGCTGTGTCTCTTTTGAGCCACAAAAAATCTGCCAGATAGCTCTGCAGTGTCTCCCAACCTGAAGTGGAAAGACTTCCAGGGAGCAGCTGCAAGGTACACAGGTGAAACAATCTCCATCCCAAGTTCTGGGAACACCTACCCCTTCTCATAGGAGGCAAGGGTCTTTTACAAACAGGAACAGTGCCAATGATAAGACTGTCTGTGGTTTGTTTATACCAGTAACAAAGATTATGACAGTCATCTCAAAATAATATTTTTTAGTAGGAAATTAGGTTTTACATATTATTTTATTATAGTTTATATAGTTATTTGCAGCTTCTTCATGGCAGGACTGTTTCATGTCACAGAAATGCTGTATTTTCTGACAGCACTTCCCAATCAGACTTCTTGAAAGCTTGCACACAGAACGCTTGCCATCATCTACAAGCAGAAAGAGTTTGGCAGGAGGGTGTTCTCTGTGAGAGGTACTTAACTGAGGAGTTGGCACCTCACCCTGAACTGAAATAGCCTCATGGGCATGCTGCAAATATTTTCCTATTGCCCAGACTTCTGGGGGGAGGAGGCACGGGGGCATTTGGCAGGAAGCAAAGGTCTGTATGAAGCATAGATTCTGTGATCTGTTTAATTAAGATCTAACCACTAAGCATACATATTTAACTGGCAGCTGTTGATGGGCCTGCTGGTCATCTGCTAGGTTTGCCAGATTAGCTTTGTAAGCAAATCATGGATACCTGAGACTGGTGCCTCTTTCTGGATAGAAAAAAAGATTTCTCACAAGTGAGCTCTCCACTCTGCAAGGGACTCAGATTATCAGATAACGAGTGTGCTCCCTACATCTGAAAAAATGGTCCA